GGAGTTTGTGAACAAAACTAAAGTCGACGATCAGGATCATCTTTGTCTAATTCCTGAACTAGCCTAATTTTGAAAGGATGGAATTTGTAGGCTTTCAAAATCAGAAAAACACTAGTAGCTGATACACCAGACGCTCTAGCTACTTGTCTGATAAATTGTCCATTATCCATTTGTACATGTCCTACAACTGCAACTTCAATTCCGTCATTTCCGACATACTTCATGTTTTCTGTTGTGAACAGAACCTGAATTTCGAAACTTACCCATTAACTGTTTACCGTATTGATAGCTCACGTTGTGGTTTTGATGATTCGTATTATTATTTCTTGCAGCAGCTTTAGCACATTCATTATTTCGATAATAGGTTGCAACAATTTCTATTCTTTCTTCAGTAGAATAAACCATGTTGGTACACAGTGAACAAGGGTGACTGAATAATAATTCGTGAAGAAATGACGGAGGCCAACTATCTATTTTTTGTTCTGCGACAACTAGATTCAACAAAAGCTACCAGTGCAGAAAAAACTAACAGTATCGTCCATTTCAAAACGTTTACTGCTAATTGAATAAATTCTACAAATCAAGAAGACCTGCGACAGAGACTTGTTCGGGAATGCCGATTTCTGACTCCGGACATCATCAATAATGAAAGGAACGCTTTCGAAAGTAGACTATATTATTGTATGGAACTAGATGTAGGTCATTTTGAACAGTTCATCCGTAGATTGTATTGCCATTGATATTTTTTTTTCTTCATTAAAATGAGCGACAGCGAATTTTCTGTTTCTTCTTAAATAAAATGTTCAACATTTAATTTCTCAATAACCAATGAACCAATTTAAAAAACTACAGAATTATTAGAGGGATAAAATACCTTTCAAATGATGTATCACTCGACCCCCACGCCATTGAAAAAATCGCGGGGGGTAGTTACTGACCGCAGGGGGTTGAAGTTTCGGGTATGATTGCCATATCAGAATTAGTTCCCCTAGAAATATAAATTGACCTGTTTAATATAATTGTTTATTGTTATGACCTAAACTGAGTTGTATATTTATTTTCGCGATGTCTTTATTCACAAATATAATCTGAAATAATTCGCAGAGGTTTTTTTTGGAAATATTTAAATCATAACAAAGATCATAACAAGGAATCAAACTTTGAAACATAATTTTTGAATGTAAATATGATATACTGAAATATTCGTATTCGTTTCTTTCCATCAGTTTTTCAGGGACGACATCAAGGTCGAATTCAAAGAACATACTCAATCAAATAGTGTACACGTTATTTAACTAGGTCACAAGACAAATGAATTTGATATACCTACATTTTCGGGTCAGTACAAAAATAGCAAATCGATTTTTCCATGTGTAACAAGTTACATTGGAACATATTCGAATTCTCTCATCATGAAAAAAAATCGGTCATTTCAAAGCTTGATTGTCTCTTTTATGCTAATCAAAAAGCACAATCTATTGTCAAACTTCTATTCAATTTAAATTTAATTTTAGGTTTTTGATATTCCAAACAGTATTAGCAATCTAAAATATGTACCTTCAAGGTAGTCAAAAGTTTATAATTCACATTTCAATGTGAACAATTCACCTTATATAAAAACATCTTGTATAATTCACGAATGACCTTGCAGTACGTGAAAAAAAAAAAATAAACAAATTGAATAATAGTTACACTGTTGATAACTGAATAAGCAAATACTGCAAGAATATATTATGTACCCGCACAATACGTATATTACATAATAATGGATGTAAATGAAAGAATATCAAATTTCCAATTACGTACATTGTAGTATCAAATATCAAAACAGCTCAAAAAAATGTTTCACTGAAACTTCTGAAGGTAGACATAAAATCACATTCGGAGGAAGATTACTAGATTGTTTTTGGAAGCTGACAAAACTTTTAGGATTTACTGCAAGTTATTTATAGGTTCTCATTAATCAACTTTGAAGATACAAGATACTTAAACTACAAAAAATCAAGTTCACGGTTCGGACTTCTTTTCGGGCTTCCCAAAATTAGATGTAGGCCAGATTCCTTGTTCCATAATTCTCCTGCTATACAATGAGTATCATCAACTTCCACAACTGACTCGTTTGAGCTTTTTTAGAAACATCGGCTTTGTACGTCGATTTATAATAATTATTTATTATTAATATATTGTTGATTATTGAACAATTTGATTTAGCATGCCTTGTTTGTGTTTTGACTGGGTTGAATCTAATGAAATTTTTACTCCTTCCTGTTAACTAACTGACTCGAAAATTGGTGCACAGTTTTAGTTCTGATGACAATACAATGTGTATTCTTCGCCACAAAATGGAGGATTTTCAACCGCCTCAATATGAGTATCAAATAAAAGGGTTTTATCTAGTAGTACACCAAAATTTATAAATCCTATAGGGGAGCCCAAGCGGGGATTTCGGGATTTACTAAAGCGCGGCAGATTAATATACAGGGGGATACCTTGTACTCGGTTGAGTACCTCCACCAAATATGAGCCCCATATATAAGGCCGCCTGTGAGGGATAAAGGATAAGATTAGTAAAAAAAAATTGATCATCAGAAATTCTCGAGCGCGTCAGATTAAGGTAGGGTGAGTTAATTACCTGCTAAAAAGTGTATATTCCAGTAATCTGACAATTTGAGAGTGACGTAAAGAAAGGGGAGGGCAGCAAAGTTGTAAAAAAATAACGTCATTTCGTCATTCTCGAGCGTAGCTAATTTTTATTTATTTTGAAGGAAATAATTCAAGGATAACGAAAAATATATAATCTGACAATTTCCGCTAGCCGAAATAACAAAAATTCGTCAATAAAGATTAATGCGTGCAGCTGTGCGTGAAGCTGTGCGTGAAATGCGTGAAGCTATATTTCCTTCTCCGAGTTTCTATTCCTCTATTCTCTATTCACTTTTACTCTATCTATTACTCTCTCACTCCGTCCCCACTCTGAATTCTGTTGCCATGATGCCATCACAGCTGATCACAGAGACTCGTTCGTGATGAAGATGAGGATGATGATTAATTAATCAATTAATTGATGGATGTAGCCGTTACTACGTGGTAGGAAATCATAATGAAGAAAAGAGAAATTGAACTTTCTATGTTTTTTACCACTTTTATTTGTAACTAAAGTTAGTGCAGTTTCGTCCTATAAGGATATTTTCAAACTTATACAATATATAAATAAACTTATACAATATATAAGTTTGAAAATGTCCTTATAGGACGAAACTGCAGTAACGTTAGTTACAAATAAAAGTGTTGAACATATACTTTTTTATTTGCATAATATTTCCTGAGCTTTTTGAATAATTAAGTTTAATGAATTGAAAAAAAAAATTTAAAACATATTGTTTTGTCAGATTAGGCGAATCCCTTTAGATAATCGTCAGATTATGAGACAGCACGTCTGAAACATAAAGATGAACCATATATATCTCAATCTGATGCGCATGAGTATTTCAAAATGGCGAATTTTTTTTACACATTATAATAATGGCCGCGAGTTTGCTTCAGATCGAAATCGTCAGATTATTGAATGAGAGCTTTTTTTTGTTGCACTTAACACCCCCTTAAAAAATTTGCGCCGATTAATTACTGTAGATAAAACATAGATATACCATTATACGCCCGAAACAAAAATACAGTCCAAACAGTGGACTGCAAAGTGGGAACTGGCTCCAAAAAAGCAAAAACTGTTTTTCGGCTGGGAAAGTGATGGCGACTGTTTTTGTGATAGTCATTGAGTTGCGAAAAAACGGGCCACATTTTCAGGAAAAAAAATCCTGTTTCACCAAGCCAACGCTCCGTCTCACACCTCGGTGAGAATGTACGCTGCCTTGGTTTCAATTACGGTTTGAACTGCTTGACTATTCGCCTTACTCACTAGATCTAGCCCTGAGCGACTTCTTCTTGTTCCCTCGTTAGAAAATTGAGATGGGACCATCGCTGGGAAAGGTGTGTAGAGTTAAAGGAAGACTATGTTGAAAAAAAAAATGAAAAAATGTTTTCCCAATATTCCTGCCCAAACGTTAATTTTTCCTGGATATTGGGTATGTGTTTCCCGGAAAACGTGAAGGTTGCTGTGTCACTCCAATAACGACAATTTTGTTTGTGAACATTGCCGTTTAAAAATAATAATGCACATGATTTCGCAGAATTCTGTTCTTCGATCAGGGTCATCTTCAGTTAATTGGTGTACCATTTTAATTTTGTATGGATGATACCTATTCCTCTTCAAAAGTCTCCACACAGTAAAAGGAGACACCCTACAAACATTCGCGACGGAATAAGTAGACTGTTCAGGATTTACTACCATCTCACCACTTGCTGTTCTTCCGGAATGGACGGATGACCTGGGGGCTTTTTGTTATGTACACTACCGGTAGGTGTGAATTTGGATACAAGTTCCCTCAAATATTTTCTATAGATAGGGTTGTTGGAATTTCCATATGGCAGATAACAAGGAATATTTCTAGAAATATCGATATTAATGTGTTTGTCTTCACGAAATTATTAAATGTTCCGCCATTTTGTAGTAGGTGATGATATTGACTTCAAATCTAGGGTTGTGAAGTATTCGTCGGGAGCTTCAAAATGATGTCACAAGATCCCTCTTTCCATTTAGTTTTTTTCCCAGATAGCGCCCAGTCGCCATCTTGAAAGTTTCATCTGTCAATTTCACTTCAAAACAAAGTATTCATGCATCAATTTCATTATCCCAAATTTAATTTTTTTTAGTTGACCCGTTCAAAAAACAAAAGGGGGGACATTAAAGAAATGCACTGTATAACTATTTCATAATACCACTTATAGAATTCAGAAGAGTTTGAAAATATTTTTGAACTGAGCTTGGCATAAACATTGTGTACGCCTGACCTGAAAGTAATTTCATTGTCAGTAATAAACTGGCACCACAATTAAGAATTTACCGATTCAATGAAGCAAGCCATGAACAAATTCAAACTACTTACGTCCTCTTCCTCGAAATATTTCGTTGTAATCCTTGACGTTGGTAATATCCGCGGTCGATTCCTCTTCCGGATCCGTACCAGAGGTGCTTTCTTCAATTGTTTTCACGTCCAAGGTGCGGCTGCTCAAACTCGGCGGTCTGTCTGCTTTGGAAAAACTTTTTCTAATACTCTGGTTGGGAGTGAAGGGATTCGTCGGACACGAATCTAATACGGAAGAGCCGAAAGGCTTGCACTTCTTCAGGTCAACTACGTAAACTTGGACGTTGGTCAGGTGAAACGAGGCGCCGATCTGAAACAAAAAAACGTTTTGGTCCCGAAATCTAATGTCGGGTAGGCTATAGTACATTTCCGCAATAGTAGGCACTGAATTCTCAGAAATATTATTGAATTGAAACGAAAACATTGTTGACAAGTTTGTGATTCTATATATTTTATCATAATTTTTCCTCATCTGTTTAGTACAGTCTTTCTCAAAGTGCTAATTGCTCAAACACGTAAACCTCACACTATTGGAGAGGATTTAATTTTACCGGCAATGAAATAAGTAATAACTACTCTGCTCCATAAACCACCGGCAGATATTATCCGAAAAATTCCTTTGAGCAATAGTTCCGTGCAAAGACGAATTGATGAGATGGCTGAAAACACTGAAGAGTCATTGTGTAATCATCTGAAGACTTCTAAATTCTCAATTCAGTTAGATGAGTCCACTTTACCAACCAATGAAGCATTGTTGTTGTCATACGTGAGGTTTATTAAAAATGAGAAAATATATCAAGAACTACTATTTGCCAGAAATTTAGAGACGGATACAAAAGGAGAAACCATATATAATACACTGGAAAAATGTTGTGATGAGAAAGAAATTCCACTGAAGAATATTATATCAGCTGTTACGGAAGGCGCTCCGGCTATAACAGGATATCACAAAGGCTTCATAGCGTACTTAAAAAATAAAATTCCAGATATGCTCGCTGTACATTGCGTCATTCATAAGCAACATTTGGTTGCGAAAAATTTGAGCGAGCGCCTCTCTCAATCACTGCAATGTATCATCAAAGCAGTTAATAAAATCCGAAACAGCTCTTGAAATGACATTATTTAATCAGCTTTGTGTTGCTAATGATGAAGATTTCAACCGATTGCTATTTCATTCAGACGTGCGTTGGTATCAGGAGGTAACTGTATCTATTGGAAAACAAAGACAAAGAATTGCACGACAACCTCATCACTTTAAAGAATGATATTGCTTACCTGACAGACCTGTATAAATTATTATAATATAATATAATAATAATAATATAATAATATAAG